GGCAAGATCTCAAGGTATCATATTCATTAATGCTAAGATTGCCTGCTAATTCGATATCGTTGGTTGATGTTGATGCTAAGCCTATTGCACTTATGCTTCCTGTTAGGATCATATGCGTCGAGCTGGGGATGTTTGCTTCTCAGAAGTTTTCAATGAGGGGAGTGGTAAGCTTTCTTTGTATTTTTATGTCCTTTCCATGAAGCTCTTTGTCTTGGCCGCGGTTGTTACTGTTTTTTATTATTTCCTGTTCTAATCAAACTCGTATACTTTAATTTTAATATGTAGCCATCTTTTCTCTCTGCTATCAAAATTGTACATTTTACTGCTTAGTTGTGGTAGAGGATTCTTACAGTGCTACAACTTCTCTACGTGCAGGAAAGACAGGGATAGTGGACTACACAAATTATGACGACATGAAATATGCTGTAAGTAATAATTTCATCCTTCTTTAATTTCATGTATTTCAGTTGATCTTAATGTCTAAAATCTTTGATCGATCCGTTCCGGCTGTGGAATCTGAAATATTCATCTGAGTTTAATTCTAATTATGCTTTTCCTTTTACGTGTAGATCAGGAAGCTCGATGATTCTGAGTTTCGCAATGCTTTCTCCCGTGGTAGAATCCATGTATGGATCCTTAGCGTAGTGTAATTATTCAGACCACAAATGCGTGTGTACCTCTGAACGAGTTCTTTTCATTTTTATTAGGTAAAGGAATATGATTCTAGCCGTTCTAGAAGCCGCAGCCGTAGCCTTAGCCCGTCATACTCTAAAGGAAGGCGCAGGAGTCCAAGTCGCAGTAGGAGCAGGAGCAGAAGGTTAATTCCTTGTTATTAACTTTATTATTGTTATTTTTTGGTTAGGCCTTATTCAGTTCCAAAAATGGCCATTATCATTTTATGCAATCTACTTGCAGCAAGTCACCATTGGGAAAACCGTCACGCCGCATGAGATCCCGTTCGAGGTCTGTGTCTCCGCCTCGTTCTGGATTGAAAGCACGCTCTCTCTCAAGGTAAATAATTTTGTCGGTTTTTTCTGCTGTGAGGAAAGGGTTTATCCGCTGTTTTTGTAATCTGTTGTCCGAGTAAGTTTAAATGCATGGGTCGGTTCTGAGCACCAAATATGCAGATGGTTTATAGAGTTGAGACATTCGGAGATACTAATGTACCATCAATTGCATTGGGCGTATTTCATCTTTTGGGCTCAGAAGCTTCATTTTGGAGCCAGGTCTTCAGTGGCGTGGACCTTGAAGTTTTATCTGGGGTGAATAAAGGAGAGAATCGACATAAGAGATTCAAACCTTCTATATATGATCTGAAATTTGAAATTGAATCTGGTCATTTCAGAGTTTCATCTGTGTTTTTTATGTCAATGCATGTACGGTTTAGTGTTCGGGCATTAAAATTTGCTTCATGGCTCTTGATTATAGGCAGGTTTTTGAGTATACTGAGATAGTCCACACGGTACAAATGTTGATCAAGACATGACCCAGCTTGCGATATCCTCAAACTATAACGACATAAATGCCAGCCAAATATAGAGCTCAAATTGTCTAATTCTACGAAACACGTCTTGTTCTCTCATATTTCTGTGTAGCCCTTTCTACTCTGTGGCTTCAGTATGGCATTTGAGGAATCATATTTGCTGTTATCGAGTCATGTTCTGCTTCTTTTCTCGTAAATTTGGAATTACCTCTTGTTGTTTCTAGATATGAATATGTTCGCAATCTGGGGATTTTGCATATTAGGATCTTGTTGTGGGTCATTGGTTCAATTTGCTTCTTTTGGTTTTTGCATAAATGGTTAACTTTAGCGTCCTTCTAGATGTCTCTTTTCTAATGAGCATCGCAAAAATGTACAATCGGTGCTAGATGGGAAACACGAAGATCATGGATTACAATGGTCGAGCTGTGGACTAATTGGGCATTTGAATAAAGGGACTCCTTTTTGCATGGACATATTTTAACTATCTCCAATGCTGCTAAGCTACCAAAGCATACTAACATTGGTTCTTGGTCTTTCAAAAGTGGAACAATAAGCTTTGGAAGCAAGGTTTTGTTCCTTTTTTTTTTCCCTACCTCAAATTCTAGGTTGCCTGATTAAGTGGGATCTGTCTCATTTTTATTTGATTTGTCTTGTGTTCGTGTGTTTGCTAAATGGTTGCTGAGTTTCCTCTTTATTCATTTTGGTCACGGTCACTTACACGTGGATATGGCAACGAGGCTCTCGGATCAATGTTGTTAAGAGGCATTAGTGGATTTTAAACTGGGTTATTGTGCAAATTTTGCAGATCTCCTTCAAGGTCAAGATCACCAAAACCATCTGTAAGTTTTAATCCTTGATTTTGATCAACAATTGCTCTATCAAACGTGTAGCTTTTGCTTCCCTTCTTTTTTTGTAAACAAAATATCTTTCTATATCGAACAAATCCTTGAGATATTGAGAATATCCTCCTTCAAGAAGAGCAATTTGTAAACAATAGAAAAAGTAATTGCCGAGTGGCTATTGTCTTGGGTAATTTTCGTAATTCACACACATTTGTTTGAAATGTGGCCATTCGGCACAATCCGGTATCTCTATGCATTATATTTTCGTTTCTTCCTTTCGTGTTAACGAATTTTAGCACCAGAAACGTGTGAGCAAAAGCCCAAAAAGTCTCAGTCCGAGAAGGAGCAAGAGCCCAAGCCGGAGTAGAAGCAGGAGCCTCTCTAGGTTTGTTTATCTTTGTTTTTTTTGCTTTGTTACATGCAAAATCCCCGAGTTTTTATTTCCTTTATTCTAAGTTTACTTTATTTCTGATTTCGTTTGAACAGGTGAAATGTTGATGATGCCTAGGTTCCATAATGTGACATGATTTTGTTTTGATGGGAGAGAATCTCGATTCTGCTACTAGGGAGATTCGAATTGCTGGACAATTCTGGTTTTATGTTGTTTATGAAGATACTTTTCGTTTTGTTTCGTATTCTGTTTCAGTGAGACGTGAAGAACAAATTTGCACTCCTATAACTTTATCATGTTATGATGATGTATTCTCCATATGACACTCAAGTTTTTCCCCTTTAAGATTTGTTTTCCTTCGGATTAGTATGATTGATTGTTCATTCATTGTGGCATGTGTCGGGGTGTTATTTTTTTTTTACCAAAAACCGAACTGAACTTGCGACTGAAATAAACTGAATTGTAGCTGTAACAGTCGAATCATCGGCTCAGTATCGGTTTTGACTAGTGAAGAGTTTGGTGTACTGATGTCATTGACTAAGTTTTCTTTTAAATGATGTAGGGTATTTGATGATCTCGTCCTAAGATTTGTTTGTAAGCAGCTAGTCATACTTGTACACTCAATTAGGAGATTTTCGTATTCACGTCTCAAAGGCTTTTATAGAACATATATCAGATTTGGTGCTTGTACATTGAATTTGGAAAAATTAATACCCACATGCCTAAATTGAAATTTGAGCCATCAATTAGCATAGTCGTGTGTTCGTGTGCATGATCTAACGGCTTAAACTCAGTGCCCACATCAATAAGAAGTTTGAGTCATTAGATCAATATACACTTGTATCGTGAAATGCGATTAATCTGATGGCTAAGATCAAATGCCCACACCAGGTCTGTAAGCGAGCCAAAGATCAAACTCGGACTCAACTTTTTTGTCTATATGAACGAGACGATTCCGAGCGATCTCAAGCTTTTAGCTAGTAGAATGGTAGAAAATATATAAAAATTCTATTTTCGAACTTTACCGAGCCGACCCGAGCCCGACTCGTTAACAAAACAAGCTTTAAACGTGCTCGAGTTCGGCTCGTTCATCAAATGAGTCGAGCTGCACTCGAGCTTTAACAAGTCGAGTCAAGCTCACGAGAGGCTCGTTTTGTTTAATAGCTCTAGCCCACACCTATAAAGTTGAATTTTCCATTGAATCTGGTACTGACAAGGTCTTGTGTGTCAAATATTTAGTACAAACACTGAATTTGATATAAAGATTCTATAGTGAATTTGTATACTATTTACCAGCCAAAAAAGGAAATATATTGAAACACTTCCATCATAGTTTTTAAACCCGACGCGATTCGGGAGTTCTCCGGGTCATCGGGTCATCGGTTCAACCGTCGGGTCATCGGGTTAATTGTTGAACCGGATAATTAATTTTAAAATTTATAAAATTATATATAGAGTATTTTTTGTCATATAAATATACATAAAAGTAACAAAATTAAATTTTTGTGTATAAAATTTGTACATTAAAGTATTAATAATATGTTTCTCATGATAATATTTACCATATAAACATATATGCATAATTTTATTTTGAAAAAAAAATTAAAAAATAGAAAAATTGTCGGACCGAGTCAACTGGATTTTGACCGAGTTTGACCGGGTCATTTGTTGCCCGGTTCAAATAGCCCACCCGAACAGGTACCGGCTCCGGTCGACCAGCCGGGCCGCCGGGCCGGTTCGGGTAAAAAAACTATGACTTCCATAGATAGATTATAAGTACAGATTTGCAATTTTCAGTAGAGATGTTAAACGGTCTTTGGCCCGACGGGCCGCCCCGTTTAGCCCTGAAAAAAAAAGGGTTAGGGCTTTTTATTGGTAGTCCGTTTAAATCAGCGCTTTTTAGGCCCGGACTGTTTAAACCGAAGCCCGTTAGGGCTAACTCGAAACTCGCTAGGGCTGGCCCGTTGAACTTGAGTTGGGCTTTGTAAATGTTTGCAGCAAGTAAGTAATATGCTCTTAGATTCATTGTATATTACAATTTTGCTATTCCACTTCACATGTAAGTATGAGTTGTAACGAATTATAATGATTTTGATAGAATTATTAACAATATTCTTATTACACTCCACACCAAAATATTTAAGTCAATCAGAACGACTAATAGGAAATACATGATACAAAGACCTAACACATGAAACATAGTGATAGAATTTATACTGATATAATATCGTAAAAATTTCCAAAGCGTACAAAATAAGTAATAAAATGGTAATTGTAAGTAATAATTCGAATATTTTTTTCTTTTGAAAAAAAAAAAAATGTTATTTAAGAGTTTGTAGTGTGTGTTCGTATATGATGTGTAGTTGTATATATAGAGCGGTAAATATCAAATAGCCGTTGAAAACAATCGTTAATTAGTCTTTGTAATTTTTTATAATTTTTTATTTATATTTTTGATATTTTTGGTACATTATTATTATTATTATTATTATTATTATTATTATTATTATTATTATTATTATTATTATTATTATTATTATTATAGACCGCATATCTCGTTTAGCCCGAAGCTTGCTAGGGTTAGGGTTATGTCTTTTTATTGGTAGCTCGTTTAAATCCAGGCTTTTTAAGCTCGGACCATTTAACCCGAAGCCCGCTAGGGCTAGCCTGTTTAACAACTCTAATTTTCAGCATACACTACTTTTCACAAACTTGCAATCTAAACCCTGGAAATCATCGAAACTGCAAAAATACACCATGCCTGAAAATAGAAAATTATAAAATCGCCAACCTAAACTTCCCAAATTCACCCACCACGAAACTTCTTCTCTCTCTCAGAAATGCCTGAAAGCGTTTTCGCAAAGCTGTCGGACGACGTCGTACTCAACATTCTCCACAAGCTCGACGACGATCCGCGGAACTGGGCCCGGGTCGCCTGCGTCTCCACCAAATTCTCCTCCCTCATCCGAACCATCTGCTGCAAGGCCAAATGCTCGCGGTCGATCCCCGCCGTCGTCTCCGATCTGCTCTCCCCGGCGGAGCTGCCGCCGCCCGACGTATGGGCATCCCTGTACAAGCTCTCCGTCTGCTGCCCCGGCCTCGTCAACTCCGGCGTCCTCCTCGATCACTCGGATTCCGGGCTCGAGCGCCACATCGGGCCCGACGAGGATTACCTGGATAAAAAAATTTTCCTGCCGATTGAGCCCAAAGACGCTCCGTCGTCGAGCCGTAACGACGGCGAGCAGCCGGAGGCCGTATGGTCCTTATATGACGATTTGCTGTTCGAAACCCTGCACGCCGATTCCGAAGCTTTGGAACGGGCTGACGAAAAGCCCGAAATCAAGCCCGATGTTGGGGAAATCGGAGATGGAAAGCCCGAATTCTCCGCTTGTAAGAAGAGGAAGACTTGCAGACCTCTCAGGTCGCATCTGGCGCCCGGGATTTGGAATCTGAGCCGCGAGCAGGGCAATAAGCTGCTTGCGGCCCGATTCAAAGGTGATTGCCTCTACATCTGTGATTGGCCTGGTTGCATTCACGTCGAGGAGAAGAGGAATTATATGCTGTTCAGGGGGATTTTCAAGGACTTCAAGCAGTCTAGGGTTTGGAGGACGATCAACAATGGGAGCCGGAGCAAGATTGATTTGCACTGTGCATATTGCTCGTCCAACCAGACGTGGGGTTTGCATTCCTCGTTTTGTCTGAGGCGGTATTTTGGGTTTCATGACGATGGAGAGCCTGTTGTTCGGGCTTACGTTTGTGAGAATGGCCATGTTTCGGGGGCCTGGACCGATTGGCCTCTCTACACTTGAGAGAAAGCTGGAATTTGATGATCTACAGGTAAAGACTTTCGGATTTTTCGAGCAAAAATTATGTCTTGGGATCATATGAATGCTGGTGAAGGTTGAATATTTGTTTGTTTGTTTGTTTGTTTGTTTGTCTTGTCTCTTATTATTATTCATGTCATTTGTGTTTCCTTATGTATCTTCATATAAACTTATTAGTGGTGATAAATGTTGTTTTGTTGATGGCTCATTTGAGGATCATGTAATGTTTTATTATGAAGATATTTATTTCTAGTTCTTTATGGAAAATAAGTGGGAAAAGATTTTACATGTCTGTTGTCTGATATTTCAGGTTTTCTGCTCTATTTCTTTTCTAATTCTGTATTATGATGTTTGTGGGAGAATTCGACCCTACCGGTGTGGGTAGAGCTCAAAACCGTTAGGTCGACACGCATCTAAGGCCTGAGCCGTCGGATCACACCCACACACTTGTGTAGGTGTGTTTCGGTCGATTAGATCCCACGGTTTGGAACTCTGTGTGGGCACTGGGTGAAATCCACTTTTGTTTGGGAAACATGAACCTCAGGAGCCTTTACATGAAGCAAAAACAAAATTAGCTTCGTTTGGAATTTTAAGATATATTTTAAGACTTCATCAAATTAATACCTTTTAAATTTTAAGATTCAAGGAGAATCTTGAAAATCTTAATCTGCACGTGGGATTTTGGATGGAATTTCGTATAATGTTTTTGGTTATGAAATTTCTGTATCAAATAAATTAAATACCTTGTGATTCGCTAAAGACTTTTTTCTAATCTCAAATGAACGAATATCTCACAACTTTTGAAAGTCTTAGAAAATCCAAAGTAAATACAGTAGATAACAAACATAAGAGATATTATAAGAATCTCAAATGAATAGTCCCTAAAATTTACAACTGATAACAACTATAAGAGATACTATAAGAATCTCAAATGAATAGAGTCCCTAAAATTTACAAAAGAAAAAATGTGGATCAATTCATTCACATCTCAAACTACAAACTTTGCCTCTTCCAATGTGGGCACGACTACATCTTCCCTCATCAACCCTCGATAGTTTTCACCAATTTCAGCACCAGCCTGCGCGAATACCTCAACCAAAGCAGGCAACATTCCGTAATACCTCTTCAAATCGTGCACAAGTAGTGGGTTATTTTTGTCCGCGACATGCCACACGTAGACTGGGTGAACAAGGTCCTCGAATGTCGCTTCCTGCCACGCGTGCTGCCCGTCTCTCATCTGGTGCTTGAACGCCTGGCACTGTCTAACCCGGTGCCCCTTGGGCCCCACTTGCACCTCACAACAAAAACCGCACGTTTGCACGGCGTATTTCTGCATGAGTCTGTTAACCCCAACACGCATTTTTTCGAGCGCTTCCACTCCAAGCTGAGCATGACCTGATTGATCAACAAAGATCGAGTCATTTGTTTAGAAATTACAGAGCTCGAGCGTGTGTTTGTAACTATGGACATCTTTTTCAAGATTTCGAAAAATAGATTGGGGAATTTCACGATTCGCGGTAGGCCAAAACCTCACGGGTTAGCATTATATGTAAACATCCTATCAAAATTCAAAACTAAGAGAACATTAAGGAAAAGATTTGTCTTTGAGGATTTGCAAAAAGTAGATGAAATAAATGAATGATAGATAAATCGACCAAGGACCCTCCTTCCCTGAACAAGAACATTAACCAACAAATATTTATGAACATAATGACAAACCTTTGAGATCATCATCATATGGCAAATCGAAATCCTTGTGACCCTCGCTCGACCATTTAGCCATCTCCCAAAAGGCAATCTCTTTCACTTCCTTTCGTGGCAAATCATTCTTCGGAAACCTTTTCTCAAAATCGAGCATTTTACCCGCCACCTTATAAACTGGGAAATCACGCCTTCTTGTTGGGTACTCTCGAATATCCACACCCGCCTGTATGCAGAGCTCAACAATGGCCGGAATACGGTCCACTTGCAAACGCTCGTTGTGGGACACGGCTCGTCCCAATCTATCATACAGATGAAAAGATTCGACGTTCGGAAAAACTTGGTGGGCCCCACCTCTCTCCCATGTGTGCTCTTTGATCTTACCATCGACATTGCATGTTCTGATCTTGTGCGGTGGATTACCCACATGCACGTCTCCACAAACGCTGCACAATATATCCAAATGATCAAAGTAAGGGGAGCTTTTGACAGTACAATACGAACACAACACGATTAGACACACAATGGGCATGACTCGAAACACAATATGAAAAAACACAAAATAAAAAGGGTAACTACATTTGGACTTGTTATCGCATTTATGATCCAATAGAATATATAACATAAAAAACACGATGGTGAAGCACGAACACAACACGATCACCAAATTCATGTTTTAATCATGGATATATATATATATATATATATATTAATTAGAATCAAGAAGTGAAGCATGAAGCAAACTTCTAAGCAAAACACTTGCGCACTTGTACTACTTATTCACCAGTCACAATCTCTTAAACAAATCATCTTCAAGCTTCTCTTTGTGAAACAACACCCAACAAACACACAAGCTGTTTTTTTTTTTCACTATTACTGCTGCAAGATATCAAGTCGAAATAATCACTACTCAAATGATCACACAACCAAACTCTTAACAAAAAGTCGATCTTTCATCAAAGCTCATTACCATCTGCAATCAAACAAAACAAACCGAAACACAATTATCGGTCACCTGCAAGCGAAAATCGGGATGCTTGCCGAAACCCTCGATACGCAAGACATCAACCGAGCTCTCGCAGCCATAACATAATGGGCAACTGGGATTAATTCCTTAACCAACAACCCATTTTCCGGAGGCTTAAGCGTTGCCTCTTGCGCCAGCATCTTCTCTCTCCTTTCCAACCTCGATCTGCGCTTGAGTTCATTAATGTCGGTCACCCATGGCTTCCTCTCGGACCTCTTGAGCTTTTTTGGGAGCTCGACGAAATCTGAACCAGTAGAGTAGAACGCGCAGGCGTAATTTTTTATCTCTACGGTTAATCCAAAGTATTTCTTGCAAATTGACGGCAGGGGTCGTCTGAATAACATTTGAAATTCGGTTGGTTTATGAGAATTTGAGAAACCAGTTTCAAATGTCTCTCTTCTTTGGGGAATTTTATCGAACAGGTTGCCTACATATCATTTGCTTGTTCTCTGATGGAAAGGAATGGAAAGCTGGACTGCTGGAGGAAATATTTGGACATATTCAACATCTCCTTAAAAATTCCATTAAAAGCCCGTTTACGGAGCCCATTTATTTATCCAATAAAAAATGGCTAACAAATCCATTCTGTTTAGTATAAGAATTCACTTGTTATTGTGTATAATATGTTACTATTGCGGGTTATATTTCCATTGATTCAATTAGCGGATTATTTTTCCATATTGTTTTACTATATGTGGCTAATGTAATATCGGTTTTGTTATGAAGTCAACAGTTGGCTCTATAGTGGAGTCAACTTTCTATATACAACAAATAAACCTATCCAAACTAATAAAATTATATTAATGTTATTTAAGTAATCATAAAACATGGTAGATTTACTTGTTGTATATAGAAGGTTGGCTCCACTATGAAGCCAACCGTTGGCTCCATAGCAAAACTGAATAGCATAAAATAAACCTACAAAAAGACCATTTTTTTTAATAAACCACACTTAACATGAAGGGTACATAATTACTGATCAAACTTATAACCAATGATCACATCCTCAAAGAGTTGCACCACACCTAAAGAGTCTTGAGAATTTAGACAAAAATTTATAAATTGTTACATTGAGCTATTCTTTAAGTTTTAGATGGTGCTAGAGACTACTAAATTATGAAATAGACATTTGGTAGTTGTTCTTTTCTATTCCACTATCAAGGGTTTTCATCAAGCCTCCACCTTGAACCATTCCTATAAATTTTTTTATTTTACTTTTTTAGAACATAGTTTTTATATGTGGGTTTTTATATGTGGGTTTGTATGTGCTGACTATTTTACTCCACGACCTTATCCACCGCCGACTACCGCCGTATTTTTGTCGGCGACTTCCTCGAGGAGCTCCAGAACCGCATCGACGTCCTGACCTTATCCAACGACGCGGTGGCAGCGAGAACAGCGATGAAACGCTGTTGATTGAGAGAAGTGGTAATTGCGTGTTCTTCTGCCAATTGAAGTAGAAAGGAAATAGGAAAGAGAAGAATTATGGAGAAAAAAAAAAAGAAAAAAAGAAAAGGGGGAAAATGAGTCATGAGTGATGCGACGGATGAGATGAGGATGACACGCAACATTAAAATGATTATAATTTCGTAGTTGTGAACCTACTTTTATTGAAGAGGAATAAAGTTTTTAATCTCGTTATTTGGGAAATTAAAAGTAAGGAAATCGTATAGACGGTAATTATCTCTAATTATTATCCTCACCACTAAGGCAAGTTGAATCATTAATCTTTTATAACTAAAAGACACTTGTCTTATGAGATTTATTTACTTTTTTTAAAGTATATATGTCCAATTTTTTAGAATAATATAATATTTGATGTTTGATGGAAGTTTTTTAATGCATGTGTAGAAAATAAAAAATTGATTAAACTTTTTTGTTAAGGAGCTGTAATGTCATAATATCAAGTACTAAAACATTATCACAGCTTGTTAACCATATTATCACAACTTGTTAACCATAGGAGTAGAGTGCAACAAAGAGATTTAAGGAAATCATGTTAACAAAACAGGCCTAATAAGTATATCAATACAACAAAACTTCCCAAAAATACACCATTGCATGTGCTAACATCAACAACCGATGGCAAAATATCGTATCTCTAGTGCAATCAAAATAATCGAGTAATTTAAGCCTAGAGTTCTCTCAGCAAATCAAACAAACAGTATGCAGATTGTAAAGACAACACCAGTGAATATGACCGAGTTCTGAGTCTCGCAATTGGATGACCCGGAAAAAAACTTGCTCATAACGAACTCACTCTCAAGTACCCACAAGCATGGGGTTCTGGTCTTTGAACTTATGATACCGTTTGCAAAGTTTCTCGAGTGTTGCCACCGAGTGCTGCAAGTTGTTCAATTTAATATCCATGAACATGCCCTGTAAAACGTGTAAACAAAACTAAATTACTAAGGGTGTGCATGGATACACATATATTCACTCAAATGTGTTTTTTATTTTTTTGTTAATAATGGTTAATTTTGAAAAAGTTCTTATGGTCAGAAGTGAGATTTTAAATATATACTAAAATAAAATAATTAATATTGTTTTGATGTAAAAGTAGGAGAAAAATGTGATGTGTAAAAATGATTGTAAATTAGAGTTGATCTGATGTGTAAAAATAATTGATTGATGATATTTAATTTAATTATATGAAAAGATTACCGCCCGGTTATGAAACATCCCGTTGGGGTTTATATCCGTAGATTATCTATCCTACACTAATCTACATGTGTATCTAACAGTTAAAAAACTCGACGGGATGGTTCCGTAACACGACTGTAGTCTTTTCCTTAATTATATTGAGGATAGTTAAAGTTGAGTTAAATTTGGATATGAATTGAGATAATTTATAAACAAACACACCCTAAACTATATGAAATCAATCACACACACATATAATAGACAACATAAAGAGTCTGCCCGTCCTCCATACCTGATAATCATCACCATATTTCTCCACCAGACGCTTAACATGAACTCTTTGCGTTGCTGTAAGTGGTTGTAGGGACGTGTGTTTACCATCTCGCCGCTTTTTCCCGAGAGCCGACTTCAAATCTACATTAACCCACAAAAGACTATGCTGTTAAAAGATGTCAACTGAAATAAAGCAAGAAGAAACTTAAAAGGTGAAGTACGAATCCTACTGATGAGGAGTAACATTTAGAAAAGTACTATTTCTCAGGCAAAACCACAAAAAAATCAAAGAACTGGATTTGAAATGTCATATCTTAGCCGAGCTCAGCTCATTTATCAATATTGACTAGCCGAGTTCTATCGAATTATAGAAAATTATATTAAAAAAAAAAACAATCATCTTTTCGAGCCTTAGTGACTCTTCGGTTGAGCATAATACAATGTGCAGCTACTTAGCGAATAAAACATTTACATCCCCGACACGAATTATTATGACCACTGTTCAAGAGAAATTGAGCTAGCATGAACAAGTAAAAATTGGAGCAGATGAAACAGCTCTCAGAAATCAACAAAACAAGCAATTGGGCCAAAAATAACCAAACTCCGAAGAACAAAATCGCCAAAGCAGAAGCAAAAAAGAAAAAAACACTGACCATCTTCCTCGAGATCACTGCCGCTATCGACAGGCTCGAACTCCGACACGGGCTCGTCGGCTGGGGGCATCTGGAGGTCATCGCTCTCAACAATGTGAGCCGTGCGCGCCCGCACGCCGAGGAAATTGGGATTCGAAACGACGCCGAACGACTTGTAATTCTCGATGACGCTGCCCTTGTCATCCCACTTCGAGAGCGGGTCCAAGAGAGTTTTGAGCTTCGGCGGAAGATTGAACGCCGGCTTGAACACGTTAGGGTTTCTCCTCGGCAGTCCGACTCGTACTTTCGCCCTTGACCGCTTGTACTTTCTTCTGGAACCACCCATGGCGTCGCTGCTTCGAGCACAGGCAAATTAGGGTTTTGAAAAAGAGGGCTTTAGGGTTTGAGATTGTACTTTGATTTTTATTTATGGATTTCGCTAAATGACACTCTGCCCCCAAAACTTTTGTTATTTCAGCGCCAGACCCTAAAGAGAAAGGTCTAAGAATATGTTTGGTAGACAAATAAGTTAGCTTATAATTTATTTAGTTAGCTTATAAGCTTCTTGTATTCAAATAAACCAACCTCGTTTGGTAGGACGAGCTTTTTTAAAAAACTCGAGCTTATTTGATAAGCTCCTTAGGTAGCTTTGAATTTTTTATTCTAGCTAGCTTATCAACTAATTTTACCAAACACTTTTATCATATAAGCTAGCTTATCAACTATAAGTCATAAAACTATAAGTTATAAGCTAAAAAATTATTGATAAGCTATAAGCTAGTTTATCAGCTATCAACTAGCTTATCAGCTAATTTTACCAAACATAGCCTAAAGCGTGCTTGCAAACAAGTATATCTCTGCCAAAAATAATTTTTTTTTATTAATTAGAGTTAATTTTAAAAAAATGTGATATAATTAGTTGTTAATGAAATTTTAAATTTAGATTAAAATAATATTCAAAAGAAAATAATTAAAATTAATTTAATGTAAAAGTAAGATAAAAATAATGCGAGTGAATATTAATTTATCAGTGAATTTTTTTTTTAACCATTTAGATTTGTATAACACAAATTTTAGCCATATTTTTAAAAAAACCTCTTTTTTAGCCATTTTGGCACTTAAAATGTCAAAAATACCCTTACTATAATTTTTTTTAAAAAAATAATCTCTCTCTTCACTAATCTCTCTTCTCTTTTCATTCTCTTTTCATTCATCATTTCATCTTCACTCATCTAAAAAACCATTCTCTTAACAAAAA